CTTTTTTGATCAAATTACCTAGAGAAGTTATGTTTGACAGTCACAGATAATTCTATACTTCAATTTTAGTAAGGCTTTCGACTTTCGCTATATGGGATCTTTAATCCTGGTTTAAATTCTTTTTTAGTAGAACGTAGCCAAATCGTTCGCTTTGGATCTTATTCATCCACGCCTATGAGTATTACCGATGAGATTATACCAGGAGGTGTGATTGGTCCATTACTATTTACTCTTTTCATTATTGATGTGTGCCTTTAGACTCATTTCGGTATTAGTTTACTTGACTTTGCTAACCCTTTCAAGACAGTCGATATTTCTTTTTGTTGATGACCTAAAATTCGTTTATTATTTTCTCGCCTCTTACCAATGATAGCTGTATTTCAGCGGTAACACTAGAAGTCATAAATCAGTTTTACGAATGGACTGTGTCGCGGAATGTGTCTGAATTTTACAAAAGTAGATTTACTTACAATGGTAGTAGATCTAACCTAAATCTGGCTGTAAACAAATATACACTGAGACATCTTAGCACTGTTGATGACACAGGTTTGAGGTATAGCGACGGTTTGTACTTTGCTGAGCACATCGAATGTCAAGTATTCAAATTAAGAAAGCCCAGTGGATTTAACTCGTGGCTGTGAACCTGAATTGGTTTCATATCCTACCGAGAAATCCTATTGCAAGTAAGATTTGATAATCACGCCAAATATTAGTACACTTGTGACTTTAAGAGTGTTATAACAATAAAAACGAGTTATAGTAATGATGACGCACAAAGCCAGTTAGTTTTCGAACACAGAGTTTTCCTTAGTAAATTTTAAAGCTACACATAATCCTTAACCTTCAGCTTCTTTTTTAATCATATTCAATCAGATAGTTATTTGTCAATTCATCGCAATCGTGTGGATTGTTTTCTTTGACCCGATGAGACATATTTGCTTAGAAATCGATCTTATAAAAGAAAATGGGTCTAAGTATTCATACCCTAATTGTTCGTCCGCAAACGACTAGAATTAACTAGTCATAAACACTGTCTGTTCTGCTTCTCACCATTTCCTTCTCTCTTTTTCAGTACTCTCTCGGTGTACCACCGAAAACATTGTAGAACGTATGGCTTTGTTCCGCGTCGTCACTTATATCCCCAAAATTTATCTGGAACGATCACCTGGAAGCACAAACTAATACGTTTGTAATCCAGATATTTTAGAAAAAGGTTGATCATCATCTCGTTCTACTTTACAGAAGCAACAGTTTTCAGAAGTTTAGACTAATCGATGTATAAATGGGATGTCCAGTTCTTCATGAACAGGCACCACAAAACAATTCAGGTCAGTTGAAGACGTGGGTAATGGATCTGTATCAAAAATGCGAGTGGGATTTCAGAAAGGAAGAAGAAGACAGCAATTAACAGTGGTAAAAGAAGAGCAAAGAAAGCCAGGGCAATGATCAAATACATAGTGCCAATCAGTAGAGTGAAAATGGGCATTACAACCGACATGAGAAAATGCATGAAAGGCCTAGCAACTACAGCAGAAATAGGTGCAAGAGAAGGGAATACGAGACAAGTACATGATACAACAAAAAACAGGCAGGAAAACATTGAAGATCCAGTGTCGAAAACTTACAGAGCTATTTATTTTGAGGATTTATTTACCGCTACAACATAGCAAACAAGAGCGACCAGTCAAGAATAATGACGGAACAATCCCTTAATTGGAAAACAAAGTAGGAGATGGGAAGACCGAGGAACAGATTGAGTCTGAAATCGGAGACAGACTTCAGAATAATGATTAGGAATTGGAAAAAAACTGGGTCTTAGGGTCTAGGACAGAGTGGATTGTAGAATCCTGTTGAGCAGTCTATTCTCTCACGGGAGATAACAGGAGTATGTAACTAACTAAGTGAGCAAATAGGTAATTAAATTCTACAAAAAAAGTTAATCCCATGACATCTGATGACATATTCGAAGGAAGTCCGGGAGATGTGGTTTCACAGGTTTTTCACTAATCTATTTGGAAAGTATAGAATCAAAGAAATCACGCGACGAACGAATCATTCTAATGTTCTCAGTTATTTTGTACACCTTCGTGGATTTACCTGAATTAATTCCTAAACTGTATAATGTTCATTTTAGTATTTTCTCAAGTTTTCTTTCAAACATGTTTTCCTTCTATCTGTCTTGGTCTATCTGTGCTCGTCCGTATATTTTATTCGTCATCTGTTTTTTATATTTATTCGCTAAGGTTAACAATTCGGCTCAAGCCATTTCCTTTTGGTTCTTTCTATTTGAAAATAGCCAAAATAGGGACAGGGGAATCTGAATTCATTATATTTCATGGTTTCGCTTCAGCTGCATACAAACTTATTGTTAGTGATTAAATTCACCTGTTATTTTATAACGTTTTTTACGCGATTTTCACTAAACTAATCGTTATTATATCTAAGTCAAATTATGTTTCCATTCATTTATGTTTTCACCAGCTCGATTTTCAAAACTTATTTAGATTCCTCTGACCGTCTTAAATCATTAAGTAACTCATCTCATTAGTTCCCAGACTCCATAGAATAACTACATCACAACCTCGATGTTTTTGAGTTTTATCTCCAAATAACCTCGCATATACTCATTCGTACATGCATATAATTTTTGCCGATAGTTGTTCTAATTTCTGTTCTTTCCGTCAGCAAGGTCAATTACTTCATATTATGCTCGAATGTTATAATTTAATATGTATACGGTTGTAAGCAGCTGAAGCGAGACCATAAAATACAGTAAATTCACTTTATATCCCTTCAAATGTTTTGACTTTTTTCAAATTCATAATGAGAAACAGATGTACGAAATTTTTGACAAACGGTTCCATGATTATTTGCTTGAAAAATATTATTTCAACCTAATTTCGTCTTCGACTTTTTTAATTATGCAGTTGTTGGAATCGGGTCAACCGAGGTATTCTATATTAAGTCATATATTAAAACTGTATTACAGCATAGCCAGCGAAGTATTCAAGAGTTACTGTTATCTAATACTAAAATATACAGTAACTTGTTTGCTCATTACCAAGCATACTGTTATAAACAAATGGCACAGATAATTTTAGTCACTTAGCTGGTGCCTATAAAACTCTATTATAAAGTCAAAGGTTAACCTGTAAGTATTCAGTCATATTCATTAGTATTTACTATGTTTATGTTATGTATAGCATAAATGATATAAAGTTTATATGATCAGAGTAAACATCACTGATAAATGATTATTATTGTTCCAATAGATGTCTCTTAATCGTATTATATGCATCATCTTACATGCTTGTCAGTATTTCATCCTCTGACCACTAGTAAATTGATATCATTCAACCTAATATTTTCATAGTTTTTCAATCGAAAGTTTGGTATTTTCTTTGTATGATTAGTAGGCAAAAAGAAGTCAAAAAAATGTGATATTACATAGAATCATCAATGATGTTTTATTTGAGATTCATGAAAATATTGATGATATAAAAAGCTGGTTAGTAGAAGAATCTAATGAATAAAATGAAAATGATATTTTGTTTTTATATGTTTGTATCAGTTTACAAAGAATTTATAATTCACTTTAGCTATCATATATTTTATTATTATAGAAATGTAACTAACATGTTATTTCTGCTAAGATGCTTAGATTGTAACCACTTTCAAAGCATTATACTTCCTAAGCTCGATAGTTTCATTACAAAGTATATCCGTTCCCGTTCAATATGTTGGTATAATTGTTTACACCCTTGTTAATCATTGTGTAACTAACATAATCTTATGTTTTATTGAAGAATATTTATTATCAAATCATTAGTTTCTTCTTATAAAAAAATAGAAACCAAATCAATCCATTTTACTGATTTCACTATTACTGTAACTTTATTATTGATTAAATTCCATGATATATTTTACAATAGTCTACATTATCATTGCTCACTATTATTATTTAAACATGGATAGAATTTAAATTCACTCCATAACAACAATCATCTCTCATAATGTACACTTTATTTCTATTATCTTATCTATGTGATATTTGGATGCATGATATAAAGTTTTATTGAATATTTATTATCAATCGAACCTTATGTATACACAACCAATCTCTTCAGGAGTCCATACAATCAGTAGACAAACATAGAAAATGAATTGATCAGTTAACTGAATGTATATAAAAAGCAAACAAACAAACAAACATAACTATTTGGTAATGGTTTAAAAATGATTCATAGGTAACTTGATTATTGATTTTTTTTATGAGTAAATATGAAAATAAATAATTCATGTTTCTTTTTTGTCAAAATTTGTACTTCAAATTTTTATTGATAATAATAAATTTATTCTCTCTCTCTCTCTTACCCTCCTCTTTTACTGTCGACTCATATAAACACACAAACTTAATTCAAATAAAAGAAACAAAACAAAAACAACTAAATTTCTGTTAAAATCCGATTAGTGCATCTCTTTGAAATGTATTCACATTTCTAATGTATATTGTATGGTATTTCTGTATATATAGTAGTATACGTCGTTACAGAAATAATTTGACATTTACCATTATAACATAAGGTATTCATTGTATATATATATACGTTGCATTGTGTTATAAGATGACCGCATATAATGCATATTGACTCTTGAATGATTTATTATTTAAATGATGATTTGGAATTTAAGAATAGATACTTTATTAAAATGACAGTTAATGAACAATAAAGACAAATCATACGCATATCAATGAATATATATGTCAATTTAATAAAATTATTTTAAAAAAAATTCAATATTATCATTATAAATTATAACAAACAAACAAACAAACAAATGATATACAACACAAAATCAATAACCAACCTTATTTTTTTTCTCAAAAAGAAAGTTTAGAAACAATCTGGGAATGTGTCACTAAAAGAGTGATAAAAATGTAAACAGGTAATAATTGAACTGAAACTATGTTCAACATTGTTACTATAGTAATAATAATAATTGTTATTATTATTATTATTATTATTATTATAGGTACTCAGGTACACATACAGACATGAGAGCATATTTAAGAAAAAATATAAGTAGCTAATAAAAAGCTAAATAATTATGAAAGAGACGAAATGTTAATCGAATATAATTTCAATGTTTAATAAGGATATGTAAGTTAGTGTGATTGATGAATGTCATTGAATTGTTTGTATACTTGGAATTGTGTTCCTTACATAAACTGAATATATTTTTTTATTTTTAAAATATATATGTAAAGTAAATAAAAGATGAATATAGATTATTTGATAGGAATTTATGAGCTATAATATCCTATACTCTAAACTTTCGAAAATGCTGTCATAGCAATACAATAAAAATCATAAAGTTTATAGTTTATGTGATTTATTTGAAAAGATTTTATGAAATATGTTGAGAAATCTCTGAGTAAGAAAAAAAAAAGAAACGTTATTTGCCTAATGAATTTTGTCAGAGGTCTTTTTGTTTAAATGAATTCTCATGATATGTTATGATGATAGTGATATGCGTTTATAGGACTATAATAAAATAAAGGAAAGCTACCTGAATTAATAATACAAATAAAATGAGAGAAAAACTTATTCATAGTTATAAATAGTAAACATAATGATTGAAATGTTTAACGGTATGGTTTAACATAATTCGATGGAAGCATTCCAAATTTTCCAGTTCTTGAACAGTACCATACATCCAACCTTCGGTAATAGGTGCACCATTCACTATAATATCACCAGATTTGAAGGTCACTTCATCGTCTTCTCTAGCTTCGTAACCATACTGTGCTACAAAAGTCTATAAAATAACAATAATATGCTTTAATTATACTGCTCATTCATTCATTGTTCGATTCTATAGTGAAATTCATATCAATAATTTTGTAGTATATGCATCATAAATAGATATAAAGCTGAACATGAATTTGTAAGTTTAAAAAGTGCAGGGTACGATGCATGTCTATTAATTTGTAGCTCATCAGCCTCAAAATGTTCGAGATAAGTGCACTATGTAGCACTTTCCCTTTCTTTTAATTATTGAATAATGTTTAAAGGAGAGTAATTTTCACTGAGAATTTCATTTCAAGCTCTAATTCTCACTTTGACTATTTTTTTCATCCGGCAAGTTGGAATGCGCTACAGCAGCGTGTTCAAAAAAAGATATATGTAGGTAGTTTTTAATCATTGAAATGAAATGTTCACTGAAAATTACACTCTTATCTGCAGTACTAAAGGAACGTAAAATACTTGAAAATACTAGGTATTACACTTTTATTGAACAATAAACAGGATAGTTATCCTCAGCCATGTAAAAACATTCAGTCTTGTCCCAGGATATTGATAATGAAAACTTTCTGAGACCGCAAAAATCATGAATTTCATGCTCGGTTATGGAAACGTTAATATGTGTATAACTGAATTTCAATTTTATTATCAGTTAACTAATGTTAGGATACAAATTGTCATTTAATATTATTGATGATATTAGTACAATGCGACGTGTAGTAAATTAGTATACATATACGTTCTCACTTGCTTATAAAAATATGCGATTCGATAAGTAATTTAGAAGTTTATACAATAGTGTTTTAACCATAAGTACAGATTATTAGAAAGAATGATCAACAGTTTATTTCGGTCAATAATGAATTTCTGAAAACAGCAGGATACTGTTAGCTTTCTAATAAGTATGCGTGCCAGTTGTAGGCTGATAGCATTACATTTATAATGGAATTATTTAGTGAAAATCAAAATATCAATGAAAGTCATAATTATAATATAAATAACGAAAATATTCTAACATACCCCACCAAATCCTGAATTTTGGTGTGTATGACCATGAAAGCTATCATGAAAAAATAAAAAAGGATTACATTTTTAATAATACTTAAATATTCTTAATCATTGTGAAGCATAATATGATGCAATAAAATTTGTTCACACAGATAAATAAACTAAAACAGCCTAGGTAACAATTGCTGGGTAAATTATGATGATGGTATGAAGTCATTAATGGTTAAAGGCAATTGAGAGAAAACCCTAAGTTCATGATAATTGGCACTGGTTAGTAAGGAGTAAATGTAACCACTAAATAACTGATTCATATGAGGGTATTCAAATACGTCACCCAGTGTAACACTCAAACACGGGATGATTCAGCTAATCAAGTTTCAAATGGTCTCCTGTACGGCCAAGTAAAAGCCAACATCGCGTATGTGTTCGAATCATCACAATAACACCTTTTGGTAGAATGAACTGACTTTATTGTTTGACCTTTTTACAATGGAATTTTCTTAATTGCTTAAGGGTGAATAATAAGGAGTTATCGAAATAGGTTAAATATTTAGAACAAGCTTGATATATCATGCAAAGTATATTAATCAAGGGTGTGCTACTTTATTAATTATCACTGAAGTCTTAAAAAACTGTTGGCTAAAACTACCTATGTAACAAAGGTTAACCAGTCATATGTCCAGAGATTAAAAAAACACTCAACAAGAATGTAAAGACAAGTGAAGCTGACAAAATCCCGATAAGACCACTAATAATGTCATCACAAAACACTTCTAAACAGCTCACTTCTACATGAACTGAGTGTTGATAATGTCGTCCACAAAGAAAACCAAAGCTTCACTACCAAACCATTCGGCTTATAAAACATAAATCAAATAAATATGTAAAAAACAAACAAACTGTTATATTCTGACAAAGAATAAATAAGTGGTAACTGCTAGGAATTATTTATAGACTATTAGTACACATATTTCTGTTGCACGACTATCAATTAACTAACTTATATGTATATTCATTTTCCTTTGAATAAAAGCTTCCATTTGACCCACTGATTACCATTATATGACTTACTAGTCCTAATTTACTCATGAATTAATAGTTATAGTATCTCACGCACACAGCCATTTTTGATTTTATATTGTATAATTTTTATTTTCTATTTTGTGGTATGATGCGGTGTGATTTGCTAGTATATAAACCACGAATTTACCAAATACATGATCCATACAGTGGAGGTTGATATTGATGTTCAGGGCTGAACGAGCTGGGATAAGCCTGAAAAACCAATAAAGACTCAGAGTTGACTCTAAGCTGCTCGAACTGGTCAACATGTCATTAGTTTGATACAGTGGCAAGGTCATAAGAGACTATGTTTTAATTGGCGATTAAGTCACGTGACAATTAACAGGGCGAAAGTCATAACAGAAACAATTGACTTACTTTAGGTTAACCGTCGAACCTCTAGGTATATTAATCGTTTCTGTAGAACCTACATTGCCACCAGCAGTGTTATTGTTAGTTCCAGGAGGAAGACCTGAAGAAACAATTAGTTGTGTAGAAAGAAAGGAAATCTTGTTCTCATTTGTAATTTATAAAATTATATCAGAAATAAACTAAGATTGAACGCTAATTTAATGGTTAGCAACAAATTATATATATAGTATACTAACTATTGGTACTAGGGAGCTTTTAAACCAGTGAGACCATGAAACTTACAATGTGCAAGATAATAAAAATTGAAGCTTGTAAATATTTAGCATTTAACATGAGTTAAACGCTATGTCAGTTATGTTTATGTAAAAAAGTATCTATTTATTTCTATGGAATAGATGGTATGTAGCTAGCAGTGGAATATAGGACGCGCATTCCATTCTATTCCAGATTTGTTGGTTTTATTTTATTTTCAGATAAATATAATAAATTTTCTGTAATAATTTATTTTATTGGAATAGTTGACACTCTAGGTACATTTCAAGTTAATTATTAGTATGCACAAGTCATTAAATATTGAGAATAATGAAGGAAATTGAATCCGGAACTCCTAAAGTATTGTAAAAGGTATACACTCTTGTGAAAACAAATTTTTTTGCCGAATAATAACTGAGTTAAGCAGTTCATAAAGTCGGTCAAGTAATATTAATGATCATATCTTATTAATTTAGTTGTAACTTTTGAGATTGTACAAATCAGTTAACAAGAACTCATACTTTTAACGGAGCATTAAATCTCTGTATATCGAAAATTTACCCTGTTGTCGCCCATTTGTTAGTTGAAATTATCGAAAAACTAAGAATCATTTGCTAAAATATTAGGCCAAAAGGCAATTAATTTGTAAGGTACTCGATACATCATTGGCGAAAGCTTGTTTAACAATAATGTTTTCTATAGGTATCATTACCATGGTTTGACTTGATAATTTTGAATAAATTGAGCATTAGGTAGAATATCCACTTCTTCAGAAAATAAATAACCTGAAGTGGCTTGCACTGAGTCACGAAACTTCCGAAAATCTAATTTTCCCACTCATTGGAATATTGAAAATATATTATCTTATTTACGGTGTTCATTGTAAGTTAAATCACAAAATGATCTGAGTTAGACCATCATAGAAAATCAGGAAGCACTGAACGGCCATTTAGTCGTAGTACGGGATTGCTTAGCAGTGCTCATCCGTCTAGCTACGATCAATTCATCACTTACACTATAATATTCTGTAATCTATACAAATCCCTCAATACTAATTAAAATGTTTCAAAAAATGAATTTTCAATACAGTTTAAATAACATCTATGAATCTAAAAGTTTTTAAACAACTTCATAATGGTTTTAAATAATTGAAGAAGATTATTCAATTAAATTAAGAGTCATAATATCTGACATAACTATTTCTTCATCATTTTATTTCATCACAATCGTTCTTCTCACAGTTATAGGAAAAACCTACTGATACTTTGTGTTTATTATTATCAGTTGACCTTTCCCAGTCGCTTACGCATGCATATATTAGCTTAATAAGTAAGTGAATAAAATGTAGTAACACATGGCTTTTGGTGCCTGAATAGTTCTATCAGAGAGTGAAGCTGCATAACTGTTGTTATAAGAAGACTGGGTTGTAATCTTGTTCTCCTGAACGGAAGAATAACGATAAATGACATTCTATCAGGGTATATTTATTATATAAATGCTAGTGAAGAGGATCATTTAATAATTAAAACGCTCAGCGCTCAATCTCAAGTACAAACCCTACTCTATCTACTTCATTATCGACAGACAATCAATATAACGTCGTCACACAAATCGTACAATGTAAAACTAAGTAAATAAAAGTTGTGTTTGATGAGCTACACTGGGAAATATAATCTATGGTACTAAAAATGTAACTTCATTTTCCTATTATTAACGTTAATTGTAATTACCGAAAAAACAAAATACGAATGATATGCATAGTTTCAATATAAATATTGATGAATCTAAGTGAGATGACACAAAAGAATTGGAAGAAGAAATAAAGCAGTTTTAATGAAATCTGTTAAAATGTTCATCAGGTTTGGAAATCATTACACAGTGTTTTGTCAGTAGTTTAAAAATCCCCATAGAATATTCAAAAATGAAGAATATTTGAGCGAACAACTGTTTTTAATGACTTCATCATCAGGCTCTACAGTTATAAGCCCATAATTATAATATTTTACAAAGGCCGAAAATAAGGCATGTATTAATGAATTTGACAATGTTATGTGTTAAAAATGGTAAACATTTGCATCTGTTACGATATATATATACTTCAAAATTGTATTATTTGCTCTTCCATGTGTGTATATCAATTCAACTGCTCCTGTGGAGCTAGTTACATAGACCGTACTCAGAGGGCTTTATCCTTGCGTGTTCGTGAACATGTACCAGCTTGGTTGGGAAAAGGAGTTACCGAATCAATTAACAGCACCATTCTTTCTCACTTGGTAGATAGTGAACGTCATATCAAAATAGAGGAAGCTTTCTCTGTTTTATATCAAGTTCCAAAATATCTACCTCACGGAGTGAGATTATGACTGCTTTACATAGCCGAAGCCATCTGGATCAACTCCAGAAGACCAAATTTATGTATCCCGAAAAAATATATCCAGCCTCTTTGTTTACGTTGGCTTACGACTTCATCACCAAATACCTAGACTGAATATTATAAACCTCTTACCCCCTTCCTTTATTTTTATCTATTTAATTTTTTTCCTTATTATCATTATTTTTGATTATCTCTATCTTAATCTTCACATCGATCATTCCTAATTCGTTTATCGTAATTACCTTGATAACACCCTCCTTATTACATATTATATTCACACAGCAATCTTATTATTATTATCTCAATTGACAAGATGAAATTCTCCTACTATGCATTTTATTCACACAATTTTTTTGCATTTTCAATTTTGCTATAATACTATTATACTATCATACTTATTGTGACTAAACACTACTCCAAACCATCCTGACCATTATTGAATGACCTTTCTGATTTGCAAATAATACAATTTTGAAGTATATATACGTCGTAATAGATGCAAACGTTTACCATTTTTAACACATAACATTGTCAAATTCATTAATACATGCCTTATTTTTGGCCTTTGTAAAATATTATAATTATGGACTTATAGCTGTAGAGCCTGATGATGATGTTTTATCAGTATTTAAAAAGCTAAAAAACCCACTGATGGATTACGATCAGATTGCGATAAGTTACTGACGAATCTTTTCATTTCAGTATGGGGGGTTGTGGAGATTGTTAAGTTTTTGGTTGAGATCATGAATTAATTGATGTTAGACCACCGTTGGAAACCTGAAAGCACTGGATGGCCGTTTCGTCCCAGTATGGGACTCCTCAGCAGTGCGCATCCACGATCCCGCACCCCGCGGGATTCGAACCCACGACCTACTGGTTTCGCGCCTGAGCACTTAACCATTAGACCACTGATCCGGCATCCAATGGTGTTAGTGTCTAACAATAATGTCACTTAGTATCTCTGTCCATCTATATTTACTGTAATTTAAAATACCTCAATATATAATTAACATTTTTAGGTATCGCATCATTATTAAAGTGATGTTAATATGTTCACCAGGTGCTAAGCAAAAACACGTAATATGAGAAGGGATATTGAGTAACGGTAAGGTGAAAATCGATTATATGTAAGAAGTATGAAAGGAAATCATTTAATTGATGCGCATTTTAAAAATTGAGGTAAAAATGAATACAAGGTAATAGATTGTAAAAGTAGAAAGGTGATTTTTAGGACTAATGTGAGATGAATGAAAAAACGAGTCATTTATGAACGTTCAGATCAAGTATAGAAAGATGTATTGTTAAAGCTTCTGCTGTGAACAGGCTCTTAAGTTAAATTGAACTAACCTTGAAAATAGTATTTATGATGGTAGGTGGCTGGTTATTTAGATATTTGAGAAAAGAACTCCTGACTGTTTTACATTCATCTGTCAATAAATATTCAGATTTGTGGTCAGTGTTGATTATTGGAGACCAACACTTGTCTGGATGTTTAGTTATGACTAAAACTAAACAACTTTGTTGGATTAGCTCAAGAAAACTTTTCATGACTTGAATCATAGTCTATCAACATACCATCTTTATCAGTATGATTACATAGTGATGTAAAATTTTCAAAATTAATATTCTTTAGAATAGTTTCATTATTTCTTTGTCTAGTATAATATTGACACTTCCGAAATCAAACTAATAAACGTTCAGGATACTAATAACATTAAAATCAGATTCCAATCACACATACAGTTGTCAATCTATATATTACGTTTTTCTTGTCATATTTATAACATGTGTAAATACCTTTATAGTTGGCTCAAAATACATCTCATAAGCATTTTGGAAATGTGAGGTTTTTATAACATGAATGGATTGTTATTTTCTGTGCATGAAATAGGTAATATGAGAAAAATTGCGAATTTGTTTCTTTAAAAAAACTATTTGTGCACTACCCCCCATGGTGACACTGATTACGCTGGATTTCATTTAGAAAATATGTAACAGAGAAATAATCAATAGTCTTAGGGGGTTAATAAACATTTTTCAAAAAAATATTTAGAGTACTGAAGATGCTTATATGCTACATATATTATTAGACAGTATGAAAAAACACGATCATGTCTTCTGGCTAAAGTGAACAAATTTAATGTAGATAAATCACCTCCTGGTTTTCAGTGATTATTGAATGAAGAATAGTCGATTATATAAAACTAAAATATTCTACAACATTTATTCCATAATAAAAACAATTCCATATTGCAACCGAATTTTTTAAAACGAATATATATATATATATATATATATATAAGACTAGATATCATAGTCCATATTTAACTATTCTTACGACCTTAGCTTATCGTTTCATGTAAAAAGGGGTCAAAAACACTAAGTTATAATGATCGGTCAGTTCGAGATTAAACCCTGATAAAATAGTTACGATCATCATCAATAGTTATGTGTATCCACAATCACGTAACTAACGTTGAAAATCGAATTCAAATCCATGACAGCTAGTGTCATATTCAGGGACGACATCACTCATTTATGTGGATAACATTTTACCGTTTGTTGTGCTGAGATATTCACAGAAATTAATCACTGAGAACGAGAGATGATTGTATTTGTCTACTCTTGACTACTGGTTAACTCTGTTGATAGATATTACTGTCTATGTAATCTAATAGTGTAATAAATTTCAGTTTTGGAATGATCTAACGCTGTTCTATGAGGAAGAAGACCCCGTTATGTTAGAAGTAAGTGATGAGAGTCACCGTTGTAAATATTAAATCTTTCTGATTACGGTTTGGAATAACTTGAAATTACGGCGATTTAGTTAAACTAAAGGTAACTTGATTTAATTGGTTAGAGGTTGTTATTTTATTCAAATAAATTCGTTATTGTTATATTATGAAAGATATTATGTAACTAACAACAAAGAGTTTAGAATGAGAAACTATTGTTATTAAGATTAGATGATGACCAACCCCATATTGTGAAATGAATGACTTCAAAGGTGTTGATTGACAGTCTGAAAATATCATACTCTTCATGAGAGACTTGAAGGTTTTAGGTTCTGTTCTATTTGAAGTTGTGTGTGCATACTCCTATTAAGTAGCTGACTCGAACAAAACAACTTTTCTGCGATTCGTGGTTATTGTTGGCTTTTAACAGAACATTTATTTGATAGAGTAGACAATAACACTGCCAAAGGTTTTATTCGATCTTAACATTTTAAATTTTAGTAGTCATGATTGAACAACGTAAAGGATCCCAACGGAGCTTTCAGCTTAGAAAACATTTCACTCGAAGCATGCATTTTTCTCAAACAGTCCATTTCAAATAAAGTACCTACAGGATCTCTGAAAGCCAATTTCTAGAGAAGCTATAGTTATTCTAAGTTAATCAGCTGAATGATCTAGGATTATACACTACTTTAACACAACTTTAGTAGATATTCGTCGATAAATTAGTGGTTTTACGAGTCAAACATGCCATTTCAGTGATATATCAAAATTTGAAATAAAATCTCACTATATTTATACCGTTTTTTATGCCTTACCTGTAGGAGTAATAATAACTGAATGACAAGAACCAGAACGACTTAGTCCATTATGATTTGCCGGTGGTGTATGCCCTTGATCATAATGATGATGATGATTGATTGGATCGATTTTAAGATGACATCCACCACTATTTGACAGTGATCTAGAATTTATGCCTAGAAAAGATGTCATTTTATAAATACATGCATAGATATATTTCAATAATCAAGTGTAAAAATAAGGGAAACCAAAATTAAGTATTTTAATATGTGTATTGGGTTATTAAAAGTTATTACAGTAAGGTTTTCTTGACACAAACGATATTACTCTTTAAATCACTAACTAATCTTGTCCTTTTCGATTCCTACTGACTGTCCAGTAAGAATGGTGTTCACAGTTGTAAACATTTAATTTTTCAGATTACAGTTTTGATATTAAGACACACACAAAGAATTAGTAAATGTTTTTTATCTACCTCATCATCTGTACAAGATGCTTTCTATTAGATTACATTTTCTTAGAACGGAGTAAATAAACTTGCAAAGAAGTTGGACAGAACATACTTTGATCAGTCTACAGATGTAATAGTCACTATAACAGTGACTAGTATATCGTAATAATCTGAAATAACTTCAAAAGCATTGTATGAGATGATTAGTACAATCAAAAAGTTTCTATACTTGAACTTCTCTTTTGAACATGTATGATATTTTCGATTTTAATGTTTAATACAAGTCCATGCCACTATAAACAGTCATTATTTATAAAAAAATCCAAACTATAATAAACAATAATGAAAATAATCGTTATGATGATAAATGTCACATGAAAAAAAATAATGTCAACTTGTATCCATCAAATTGTACCTGAAGAATTTGAAAAAGTATGAGGTGAAGTGCAATGATTGCTTAATCCAAATCGAGTAGGTGGTGGTGTATAACTATTGTAGTATGAAGCTACAATTAACAAATTAAAGAAATAAGATAATTCATATTGAATGACTGGTTTTTGTGAGTGTAATTCCTACGACAGTTATGTATATGTAGTTAATGTATTACTGATTCTGAAGCAGTTACTATCGGTATTAAAGTAACCCTCAGAAAACTAAAAGTCGCACTGTTAAGAACCGTCGACATCAAATTTGATAATTGTATCATAGAAAAAATGTTGATTATTTTATGAAATGTAATCAACTTTTCCTTTAAATTTTACTTTGACAAATAACAAGTTTTAATATCTGACGAATAACTAATAATAATAATCTTCACAACTCCTATACTGATACTTAACATGTGCTCACTAATGACTAGCTTCGTGAGGGAATTCTCGGAGTTCTAATGAGAAGCCGTGAACAGTGGGGCTAATCCGTATCGGGTAGAGACAGGTGTCTACCTCAGTACGATGGAAGATGGTCGCGCGATTTCGTGGATTGGTTGATGTTAGACACTAACACCATTGGATGCCTGCTCAGTGGTTCAGTACGTCAGGCGTTCGCGCGCGGGACTGAAGGCTATGGGTTCGAATCCTGCGAGCGGGATCGTTGATGCGCACTGCTGAGGAGTCTCACAATAGGACGGAACAGCCGTCCAGTGCTTCCGGGTTTCCAACGGTGGTCTAACATCAATCGGTTCATGATCTCAATCAAAAATAAAACATCCGTTCAAACTTTAAGTACTCCTAGAAAGACTACGTACGATGAGATTGAAGTAAAAATGAAATTACATGTTGAGATTGAGAGGGAGTACATTTACTTGTCGGGAAAACATAAATGTCAAAGCAAATATTATTTATGGTGAATTAGTCGAAATATGATAAACATACAGTTTGTAAGTTCATCAATCTGGTACTTCGACTAGCATTTTAGCCTTGAAACAGTCATGCAAATCCTTATTATTAGCTTTCGTGTATAAATTAACGTTGATTATAGTATCATGAGTGTTACTAAATTGAATTCATCTAACTAACGTATGAGATCAAAATATCACTTGGATGACTCTAATGAATTCTTATCAAAATGGAGTCCGATTAGGAAGATATGTAGTTGATATTTGAGAATCTATTGTTCCTAAAATTTACGATACTTACATTGATAATTAGATTTAATAGAACACAGCACTATGGGCTTTGCTTGGAATCTAAGATGTGTTTATGTAGGCATTAAGATTTTTAAATATTCGATGTGGCTGGGGAGATAGAAGAATATATGTGTGAGCATGTAACCATGCTTATGCATTAAATCAGTGAGAATTTTTCAAGACTCTCCAAATTTACCAATCCATGAAATGAAGAAATGAACCTGATACTGGACGATCAAACAAATTAGAGAACTAAACAGGTTCATAATCTCAATTTTTGGGTGCGGCTGTAATTTTGTTGTATGGGTCTCAAAGGCGTTCATATTAATAGAGACCTTTAGTCGAGATCATTTTGGATATCTTGAACACAGCGATAAAATAAAGACTTTCTATTGATTTAAAAAAAAAGTAGATCAAACTGATGAATATTTTGTTGAAGCATGTAATTATTAGCTAAACCTGCATGGTTAAATGAAAAATTCAGTCATTTCTTAAGACTAGTTAGCATGATATTTATTATCACCACTGGACTTCATAGTTCACTAAATGACTTACAACTATAAGTTAACATCCTTCTAAATAACACAATGATTACAGTGAATGTCGTAGTAACTAGAGTACTTCTAAGTTTCGTGAGTTGTACTACTTCCTATGATTAATCAATTATTAACAGTCATTTGTGCCGGGGATTTAAATCACTATTTATTTATAAAAGTGTAAATGTATGTAGATAAAAACAACATACCACTACGTCCATATGATTGTGGTGAGCAGCGTTCATCAAATCCAGAGCTTCGTCCAGAACGAACACTGTTTGCCTTATTTAAATGAAATTTTATACAAAAAAAAAGAAAACATGTGTATATTCAAAATAAATGAGGTCATGGAGTCAGTGGTTAAACATAAGGAATACAGTTTTATTTTAGTTATAATTTTAGCGCGCATATAAATCAACAAAAATGGTGATTTGAAAATGATAAATATAGGCTTCTAAATTTAACAGTGTGCAGTTTAAGACTACTTTTTTTGCGAAGCATTAGAAAGAAAGCAGATACATGATAAGTAAGTCGTATTTATCAAATAGTTTATTTCCAGCTAGAACGTACAAAAGCTTAAATAACACTTTAAAAGGATTCAACAATTTACGAAACGATATTGCTTCATGATAACTATCTTCACAACACGTAGATCTCTCAAAAGAACACAATAAGTAACAATCACTTACTGACTGATGATTTCTTTCCAAATGAATTTTCTAAAACTCTAACCTGGAACTATGTCGATAGTGAAATTGTCACAAATGCTACCATAGGATGGAATCACATTCTTACGGTTAATTGACGTAAACCTAGATATACCTAATTTAATCTCATGTGCACAAAGCTAATTAGTGTAAGGTGGTTGGAGGTGGTCAGCAGGAAACACTAAATCCAAGTTTCGTGATAGTTTGTATGCTTTAACTAGGTATGATTACATTCTTGAGGACTGGTCTCCTATAGATCTGTCAAACGCTATCCGAATAGTTTTGTTTAACGTCTCAAACAGTGAAGCTGGATGGTTTGAGTTCGAATATCACTGGAAGCATCAAACCGCTTTTTTTTCCAATTGCCTCATGCTACTTAAATTCACAACACGGCGAAATGTTGAGTCATTCAAATAAGAGACTGCGTCAAAACCTATTCGATAAAATTCGATCAGTACTAAACGACTAGAGAAATAAGATTTTAGTCACCAGTTAGTGATAGATCAGTCTTAGTGTTGATTAGTTATACTGTGTGGCGAGACAGTTGTTCATTTTATTGCATTACCTGATGAATAAATAAATAATATTTTTGTAATATCCCAATGAGTGGAAAAATTGGATTTTCTGACGTTTCGTGACTTACTGTAGGTCACTTCTTCAGAGAATGAATAACCAAATTAAAATTAAGCTAATTTTAAATAGTACAACGGAACAATAAGAATAATATGTGATCAATCAAACATATTACTTATTTATAACAACCTACCCAATGGTCAACTTAATCAAAATTATCAAATCAAACCTTGGTAATGATACCTACAAACTCATTACCTGATGAGGATTAACTTTACTGAAAATAGCAACAGTTGAATTTACCATCAGAAAAAAACCAAGTCATTACTAATATTTAACTATGATCTTTGAAAGTACTTTTTTTCTTGTTTAATACATTTGTTATTTAATTATCAATTTAGTGTCTTCTAAAGTTGTTTAATATTTTACAAATTAACTATAAACAAATCAGAACAATAACTCAAAATTGATTGAAAATAATACTTTAATTGTTATAGTTTTAATTGATGTAAGCGAATGTGTAATTTATAGTTTCCGCAACATTGTTTAAATAATTGCTAAATAAAATCCTGACAATACATGAATAAGTATATAGATATACTTTGAAACTTTTTATTAGTGTGCAATGCAAAAGCTTTGGTGATTCTATACTTTGTGTGTGCGTGTTTTCTTTAGAAAAAGAGAACTTTCTTTTCACAATCTGTTATTCAGTCAAAAAAGTTTTAATGTATGTCTGTGTGTATTATAACATAAAAGCGTTTTCGGATTCTATAGAGTAATCTATTTACAGTTTAGTATCACTAATTGAATTACACAAAAAAATTCAAGCACATGGTTATATCGGAATTCGCATCTGAAAAAATGTATGTTTTTTTCTTTGGTCATAAAGAAATTTTTTTGAAAAGGCAATGAATACCGAAAAAGCAGATGCACAGTCTTCAAGACTAGTATTCGTATTATTATCACTATTATTATTATTATTATTTGTACATAAGCCTATTAAATGACAAAATACTCGTTTACGAAAGGTGTTAGTAGCAAAATTTATATATATATAACAGTAAGCAAAATATGCATGTTAAAGACAGACTAACATAAACTGATATACACTCATACAAACACATTAAATTAAACAAAGGATGTTTGCTGACGAATGACCACACAGTTTAATAATTTATACTACCGCTAGCTATGTAAATATTTACATCTTATGATTAGTAAAAATTGCACTTACAATATATTGTACAGTATCTATCATTGTTCTATTACATTATTTATCATGGTAAATTATTCATTGAAAAATAAAGAATAACCATTTTTCATTTAATTAAAAGTAGGTTCGATATTCCACTACGTGTTTGGGCTTCTGACGTTGTGCAAGTGGATAGTAGTGCCATTTGCTAAAGTAAAACTTTACTCGACAAGAAATCTACCGTTTCCTGGTACCTGAAAGGTCAACACGCACGGCCGCCGCTCATGAGACGAAAATAAAGCGATAACAATGTTACATAATTACAAAGTTTTCTCTTTAAAAACTACCCATTATGCCACTATTCAACTAGTTATAATAAGTATATATCAGTGACATATGAGGAATTCGATTGAAAACAGTTAGAATAATATACCTTTCAGTTTATAATACTTATAAATTATAGAGAATTATGAGTGTGTAATGATAGATATCCATTCAGAAGAAGAGTAAATAGCTACAGTTGATAAACCCGCCTCCTTGTAATTTAGCAATCAGTATAGGTAGATAGCATATTAATGAACTCACGCAATACAACCATGAAAATTATTATAAAGAACTTTCTTAAAAGTGAGCGAAAAAAGGTTGTTCATTTAAAACTGCAAAACATTCGTTGTCTAATTATTACGTTAAAACGCCAAAACAATTTTTGACGTTTAAATGTTTTGAGATATACATCCAGTAAGTGGCTAGTAAAAAAATTGAAAATGTTTATCTTCTTCTTTTTGGGAGTCATCAAATGGTTGTATATGCACTTTAGTGGTAATTTTCACAACTAGACTCGAATACTTAGGACATAAAGAATATTTTAGGTCACCTCGTTGACTCCAAACAAAACAATCTTTAAAACCTTCCCATCCTTTTTAGCGGTGCATACAAATATAAACTATATGGCAAAAGTAAAACGATGTATTCATATGAAGATAATTAATCATTGTAAATTTGACCTCCTTCTCATCTTACTATCTTATACTTCGAATTAGTTAAATTATCGCTGTCTTATCCAATCATTAATAGCAATACTAAACGTCATAAGGTAAGTATTTTGTACTTCTCGGCTAAGCATTTTCTTACTAGAGTTAAGGATTTAATAGAAGCAAAATCCTTTCATCATGTTAATCAAATTTTCCTTTATAACTGAACATTTCCGTCGAATATAATCGGTTATGTAAAGCAAGAATAACAAACATTATCGCATCAAGTGTACAAATGTTCAAAAATTCTCACTAATTAACAAGTTTTAATAATAATAATAATTAATATTTGTCTAAACAATAACAATTACTGAGTGATTGGGACATGTTTCATGATAAGTAATAAATGTTGGGCTTCAATAATGTACATTTACAGTATTTCAATTAAACTAAAAGAAGGATCATCTTAAAAAAAAACAGTGAACAATTTATTACGCTCCAGCATATTTTATTCATAACGATTATCTGCTAATAATATTCGGAATATATTTACAATAATTAAAATATTAAATGTTAAAACTCAAAAAACTTGCTGAAATCAAATAAATTTAAATGTAAGATCTGATCATTAACATTATTTTATTCAATTTTCTAAACTAAGATAATTATGTATTTTTATTATAGAATAACTGATATTGTGGTGTATGCTACTGAGGTCGATAGATATGAGCTATAAAAAGTGAGATGTTTGACGGCAGAAGGTTAAGAAGATCGAAGAAAAGAGAATGATTGGTGTGGAAATGAAGGGACAATGAAGTCTGAGATGACTGCTTGACATTTTACAAATGAAATGTTTGCTGTATAGTTCTCAGATTTTATTAAAAGATTCTTTAATTTTGTATTCAAACACATTTGGTTGTCCCGCACTTGCGTTCGTGTTCACTACAATATCAGCTGATTGTCAGTTAATTTGAAAATAATTCATATTTGATGAATAAGGATTCTGTCTTTGTTTAAACTCTTCAATGTGTTAATTCTATGTGTTTATATATATATTTTTTCTAACATGACTGTGACAGTTACATTTATCTATTTCATCATCGGACACGTGAATAAATAAGATTATTACCTAGAGTCACATGTCCATGACACTTATCAAAATTATCATTTAAAGTATCGTTGTATATTGGATGAAACAATTAAAACAAATGCTCAAAATTTAACTATCAGTTAAATTGAACAATAACCATTACAGAATGATATATAAAAAAGGAATGTGAACTTCACATGACAAATAAATAAATAAATAGATAATATGTAATACAATGTATAGATGGTAATCTTGGAAAATATGCTTTAGAAATGCTTCTTGTAAAATGAAATTCTACTGAAAGTGGGGACAAATGAAATGATATTATCATTTATTTAATTTCAAATAAAACAACATTAAAATATATAGATGTATATTTGTTTTAAATTAATTGCATGTATCCATAATATAAATATGCATAATAAAATCCTAAAACTTCAAAAGATACATATATGAATGCTATTTTACGGTTAGTTATAAAAGATAATTGATGAAACAAAGATATGTAGAGTAATTGAATGTTGAATAAAAATAAACTATTTGATTGAATTATTCATTTGTCGATATCACGCTTAAAATGAATTCCTAATTAGAATTATAGATGAACTAATTATGAGGACCATAACGTATTTATACATGTATGATTAATTTTAAGCAAAAATGTAATCTCAAATTTTAAAGGATTAATTTTGAAAATTTTAGAAAACTTCACTGTTGTAAGTTTAATATCAGAAAACAAAACAGCTGAA